GGAGCAGTAGGAGCTCACCCAATAATCCACTATCAACCAATTGGGAGTTTACAAAGTGTGGCAATCTTCACAACCCAAATAACCCAATACACCCAATAGCTCTCACACACACATAAACAAATAGAGAAAGAAATATAATGAATAATTTATTCTCTATACATATATCTCAAAGCTATGTACAACAACAACTACTTTGGTGGATGATTACTAACCAAATGAAGCAGCAGCTTCTTCTTCCTTTTGGCTCTCTGCAACTTCCCTGCTCTCTGCAGAAAAATGAGCTCTCACTTCTCTCTTATTTCTATCCGAGAAACCAATAATTATGGCTTTGAAAAAGCCACAAAAAAGGAAACATAATCATGCTCTCAATTTATGGCCACCGCCACACGCCTGCGTCGGCTCGGAGCTGCCGCCTGCGTCGCCACCGCGGCAAGCGGCGCCTTTCTCCTCCAGCCTTCCTTCTCCGCCAACGACCGCGGCAATGGACCCTCCTCCCTCGGCGCCGTTCGCCAGAGGATCAGCGACCCGAACGCTGTCGTTCCGTCTAGAGCGGCTCAGGAGGCCGCTCTGATTAGCGCGAGCGCTTCCAACCCGCTCGACATTCTCGTCATCGGCGGTGGCGCTACCGGAAGTGGCGTCGCTCTTGACGCCGTCACCAGAGGCCTCCGCATCGGCCTCGTCGAGCGCGAGGACTTCTCTTCTGGAACGTCGTCGCGGTCCACCAAGCTAATTCATGGAGGTACGCGTATTGCGTATGTACATTCGTACACGTATCCATATATATATATTTCATACTTGTCTGTATATATTGTGTTGCATAATTGCATTACATGGATTTCCCTGTCCTCTCAATTTGTCATTTCCGGTTCTTAATGTTTACTGTTGACGTTTTGTTTTGTTTCGTTCGTCGTTTTGGCCTCCTGTCAATGCATTTGTGTGCTTGAAGAGAAATTGAGCTACAGGAGTGGATTAATTTACAGAGCCGATGTAATTTCGTCAACTTTGTAGATTGATACATTTTAACTTTGTCTATATTGATCTTAAAAGTAAATCGAGACGGAATAATCCGAAATTTCGTTGTTATCTTTCAATTTTGAATCTATGATTTGGCCGGTTCATATTGCTATGATAATTTTTAAATACTAACTGAATTGACTGTAAGATATGACACGATATGATGTTCGAATTTTTTTTCGTTTGGAGTTAGTAATCATTATCTTAATTTTTTTAATATTTTAGTTTCTAATTAAGTTTTGATTCCATCCCGGCGGCTTATGTAAAAATTTATTATGTTAGGTGTTCGGTACTTGGAGAAAGCCGTGTTTAATCTTGACTATGGACAGCTGAAGTTGGTATTCCATGCGCTTGAGGAGCGTAAACAGGTTATTGAGAATGCACCACACCTCTGTCATGCTTTGCCATGCATGACACCGTGTTTTGACTGGTTTGAGGTAGTGTACTACTGGATGGGCTTGAAAATGTACGATTTGGTGGCAGGACTACGACTCTTACATGTGTCCAGATATTATTCGGCACAAGAATCTGTTGAGCTGTTCCCCACCCTTGCCAGGAAGGGTAACAATAAAAGCTTGAAGGGCACCGTGGTGTATTATGATGGGCAGATGAATGACGCACGTCTTAATGTTGGATTGGCGTGCACTGCTGCCGTAGCTGGTGCAGCAGTGCTTAACCATGCAGAAGTGGTTGCTTTGTTGAAGGATGAGGCTAGCAATCGGACAATTGGTGCAAGAATCCGAGACAACTTATCAGGTAGAATGAGCGCACACTTCCACAACTGGTTTATATACTAATGTAGTGTAAAAATGATGATTTAGTAATTTCCTTTTTGAACGTTGTGATTCTTACTGAATTTCTTAAGTTACCAGGGAAAGAGTTTGATATATATGCAAAAGTCGTCGTGAATGCTGCCGGGCCATTTTGTGACTCTTTAAGGAAGATGGCAGATCAAGATGCAAAACCAATGATATGCCCAAGCAGCGGTGTACATATCGTACTTCCTGACTATTACTCTCCTGAGGGTATGGGTTTGATTGTTCCTAAAACTAAGGATGGACGTGTTGTTTTCATGCTTCCATGGTTGGGACGAACAATTGCTGGCACCACAGATTCCAACACCTCTATTACTCTTCTTCCTGAACCACATGAGGATGAGATTCAGTTCATACTGGATGCCATTTGTGATTACCTTAATGTCAAGGTCTGTGATTCTCTGTGCCTGTGAGGCATCTTTTCCTGCATTGCTAATCCAAGTTTGTGACCCAACACCATGTTTATCACACGTCAAATAGACATTAGCAGTTATAAAATTAAAAATCTGTTCTTTTAATGATTACTTCCTTTCTATGTAGTCAGCTAGAATATTGCGTGTAGATTCAGTGTGATCTTATGATCTGTATTTGGATTTTAATTATCAACATGAGCAGCTTGGTCAGTTGATTGTCTATTATTTCCCTCAGTATAACACTTTCTCCTTAAGGATTTCTCTGACTAGTTGAATTTTTAAGTCGGGTTGATAATTGATGTCCAAATGCGGGAAGTAGTGGAAGACATTTAATGCTGTAACTCAATCTAGGTGTCTTCTTTCTTTTTCTATTTAGTTGTCTTGTTGGGACTAAAGCATTGCTGGGAAAATATAGGTACGCCGCACAGACGTTCTCTCTGCGTGGAGTGGTATTCGGCCATTGGCAACGGATCCATCTGCGAAAAGCACTGAGAGCATCTCCAGAGATCATGTTGTATGTGAAGATTATCCTGGTTTGGTAACAATCACGGGCGGCAAGTGGACTACTTACCGTGGGTAAGGTTTATTTGGTTGACCTGAGATGATTTAGTTTATAGTTAAGAGGTTTTCCATTTGAAACTAGGCAACTTATATTTTGCTGACTAGAAAATTTTCAGCATGGCAGAAGATGCGGTTAATGCAGCAATAAAGTCTGGAAATCTGACCCCAGAAAATGGATGTTTGACCTCCAAGCTTCAGATCGTCGGTGGAGACGGATGGGACCCTGCATCTTTTACAGTTATAGCTCAACAATATGTGCGCATGAAGAACAGCCATGGTAAAGTTGTTCCTGCAGTGATGGACACTGCTGCAGCAAGGCATCTGTCCCATGCATATGGTACTTTTGCTGAACGAGTTGCTGCCATTGCTCAGGTTGGTTTTTCTTGCTCCAAAAGTTACTGTATTACGTGTAATCTGTTATAGTATATGGATTTCTCGTAAATAACAATATGCTTCTGGTGTCCTTAAATTACGATATTAGTAGCTGATTCCTCAACTTCCTTCGTAAGTATAATTGTTGAAGAATGGTACACTTACACTCATGTATTCGTATTTTAAAAGTCTAGATATGTTATGTTTAATGTGTAAACTCGTAATCCCTGTAAAAAAAATTATAATCGAAGGTTTCATTGTGCAATTTCGTACATTGTGTTTCTCTGTTTTTTGGACTAGTCATATGCTTTGAAGTTTATGCTCACTTATAACTTCATATTTTCAAATTTTAGAACGAAAATCTGGGGAAGAGGCTTGCCCATGGATACCCCTTTCTAGAGGCTGAGGTTGCCTACTGTGCTCGAAATGAGTACTGTGAATCTGCCATTGATTTCATTGCTAGGAGATCTCGGCTTGCTTTCCTCGACACTGATGCGGCAAGCAAGGCATTGCCACGTGTGATTGAAATTTTAGCAACTGAACACAAGTGGGACAATTCTAGGCAGAAGTACGAGTTAGAGAAAGCCAAGGAATTTTTGGAAACTTTCAAATCTTCAAAAAATGCTCAGTTCCATGATGGGAAACACGTTTAGTAAGTACATTTGTGTTTTGCTTGTCAATTAATCTTTCTATATTCCTGATCAACAAATTACTTTATCAAATCAGTCGGTAGTATAAAGAATTATGATCAGATGCTGGTCTCCGCTGTAGGTTTGTTTGTGCATTCAATTTTCACTAGTGTATTGAATGGCGGCAAGTTTTCCGGCCTTAATTCTGGTGCAAAGGAGTATGCCTGCCACGCACAGCATAAGGGTATAGTTACACATCAATGAAAATTAACTGTTTCCCTTTTGGGATTTCTATTTGTCATCTGTCACAATAATCTGTTACGAGATTCTCAGCACGCTCTGTGCAGCGTTGCTCGTAAAATTTTTCAGATGATTCTGACGCTGTATTTTCAGGTTTCCAAAATTAAAATTGTAATGTTAGAAAAATGAAAGAAACGATGTATGTAACTTACATCATTTCTTTCATTTTCGCCTTGTAAAACCCTCTCTTGAAGAAAGAAGTGCCAAATGCTTCTCTAATTTCAAAGACACTATTTTCTTTTTACGGTTGATATTTCCTCGCCCCGACACCCACCATTTCTGACCTCATTTGAATTACCGGCCTCGGATGGGTTGCCGAAGGCTTGGGCGGCGGTGAAAATGGTGAGTGTCGGGGAATCTGAAACCTCTTCTAATATCCTAGACACTTTGAATTTTGAACTTTGCAGATGACTAACTCTCCAACTTTTTCCTTTCCTTGTTCACGAGTAGTGTCTCTGTAAAACCACACTTCATCCATGCATATCAATTTACTTGAGTCACGGGTTACTGTTGATTTGCTGGGTCCAAAAGTTGATGAAACCAATTTCAAACTCGATACTTGTGATTTTTGAACAACTTCTGTATTTTGCCTCTACCGAAATAAATATCATTTATGATAGTTCTAAAGAGGCTACTACGATGTATTTATTCATTGGTGCGGCAAGCTCTTCTATTCTAGTTCACGGTTTTTTTTTTTTAGCTATATGGTTCATTCGGGGAGAGTTTCACCAGTCATTGGGAACTCAAATAAAGATTTATTTAACGGCAGACGAGAAAGAAAGGTAGAAAGGAGGGGTTTTCTTCCGTTTCGGGGCTCTCTTCTGTACTAGTTGTTGACTGGCCAGGAGAAAACCAGTGCTTTTAGCTTAAGCGGATTTTCACTGGATTGGAGCCTTTTAGAAATCCTTCCCTTTTGGCTTCACTTGAGTGGTTGATGCAATGCTAGAGGAAGATCCGAACCGCCACTTTTTTCATTCATAAAGAGATCGGATTGTCAAAATCAATAAAATGCCCATCATGGACCAAGATCCAAAACATATCAATTTTGTTGAGAGGTACTGCCCAAGGAAATGAAAACGTTACTTTTGGATCAAAGATAATAAATAAAAGTGAAACAAGATAAAATCGTATATCGAAAATAACTTCTGGCATCACCGAAAGGATCGAGACCACATTCATAGGCCAACAAATTTTTTGGATGGGTTGAACTACGGGAATGTGAAATAACATGAAAACGTCAGTAGCGTTGTCTGAAAGCTTCAAGGGATAAAACAAAAATAATATGAAAAACACATGCCCTTGAACAAATGTTCCAAACTCTATTCAAAATGCGTAGTCAACCTGCTTCTGAAGGCTTTCAAATTCAAACCTTTATGCCAACTTGAAACGCATTTGATATCGCAAGAAAAAGCGTTTCTTGGAGTAGCTGTTAGATGCTTTTTCAAAAAGCACTTCTATTTCATTAAGGACTTGAATTTGTAATTAATATTTCAACATACTTTTTGGTTACAAAATATCAACATATTTCAATAAGAAATTTTGTAAGCAGAAGTGCTTACTACAAAGTCAGTTTCAAACGGGTTCTAAAGACTAGAATAAAAAAAATAAAAATCTCTCTATCTCTTGGGCTTGGGTCGAGCCCACCCGATTACTTTTCTTCTTTTATTTTTGGACCCAGCCCAATAATTTGACGAAAGATAGCCCAATTATAATTCGTTTCAAAAATAAATAAAAAACAAAAATATATCCACTCCTGCAAAAAACCTAAACCAAAAAAACCCGGCAACCAAAAATGGCGTCGGTGGCAGGAGCAGCAGCAGCGCTAGCTTCTCTCTCCTCCTCCCTCCTCTCCAAACCCTCCCTCTCTCTCATCCCCATCCGCACACTCCCCCGCCTCACCTGCTCCCTCGCCACTTCCTCCTCTTCTCAGGAGTTCAACATCACATTCGCGCCACCGAAGCCCAAGCCCAAACCCGACTCCGCCGAGCTCGACCAGGATGCCCTCGCCGGGCAGCTCATCATCCCCTGGATCGTCCGCGGCGAGGACGGCAACCTCAAGCTCCAGTCGCACCCTCCCGCGCGTTTCCTCCAGGCCATCGAGACCAAGAGTAAGAGTGCCAAGAAGAAGAAGGAGGGCACCGAGAAGCGCGTGCCCACGGCCGAGCCCAAGTACTCGAAAGCCGCCCGGAGGTTCTACAACGAGAATTTCAGAGACGCCGAGCAGCGGCTCAGCAAGGTTCTCGCTGCCGCCGGAGGTAATTGTATCGAATCCCTCGTCGCTGAAATGGATAAGAAGAATGGCATTGTTGAAATTCAAATTGGAACCGAACCCATTTCTGCAATTTCATTTATTTTCAGTGTTAATGGGATTTTCTGTGCCTAGATAACAGTAAACTTTAGCGAAAAACACTTCAAGCTCGATACTTTAGAAGAAAAGTACTTTCTAATGGGTGAAGGGCTTTCATAACTAAGAATTAATTAGAGCATGGCAAGTGGATAGACGATAGTTTCGTTTCTCCAGTTGAGTGCTTTTGTATAAAACTTATAGTTGTGGGGTGGTTTTTCTAATTTACCATTTATTTTTGGGAATTAGTGGCATCGAGGAGGAGCAGTGAGCAGCTTATCTTTGATGGGAAGGTCACTGTGAATGGTTCTGTGTGCAATACTCCTCAAGTATGTTTCTTTTTCTGTATATATTTTCGTCATTTGATAGCTCCCCGATTTCATGTGTTGGGTTGTATTTGGTTTTTCTTTTAGCAGCATGATTATACTTTGGTGTAAAATCAGTGTTCTTTTTGTTTATGTGTAGACTAAAGTTGATCCTGGAAGGGATATTATATATGTCAACGGAAATCGGATTCCGAAGAGACTGCCTCCAAAGGTTTATCTTGCCCTTAACAAGCCAAAAGGGTAATGCCACCGCTACTGGCTTCTCGCATCTCTTGTTTTGTCTTCTGTTGTTGTGGTTTATTGCAGATTTTTCGATTTTGGGTTTAATGCATTGATATTATGATAGGTACATTTGCGCATCTGGGGAGAATAAATCTGTGTTGGGTCTATTTGAAGATTATTTGAAGACTTGGGTATGCTAAGGCTTACAACCTCATGCATATTGCACTTTTATATGGGCAACTACGGATTCAGGATAATTATTAGCATTTAATAGTATATACTGGTAGCATATTCATGCATTCAATTCGTCAAGTAATGAACTTGTTTGCATTTTCAGGATAAGAGAAATTCAGGAGTACCCAGACCACGACTATTTACTGTTGGCCGTCTTGATGTTGCCACAACTGGGTTGATCATTGTGACCAATGATGGTATATCTAAAACCATATATGCAGAGTATCTGCATAAAGACCTATATAGAACCGATTCATTTGACATCATATCCAATGTTATGTTTTCAGGAGATTTTGCTCAGAAGATATCACATCCGTCTTCAAACTTGTCAAAGGAGTAAGAATGTCCATATTTTCTGTTCTCTTTTACTATTTGAGGACTATCATGTTTAACTTTCAATAAAGAAAGATCATATGGAACGAAAATTTGTGTGAAATCTTTTCTTTAAATTCATATATCTATTAACCTGCAACTTTACACTGTAATTGTAGATACATTGCAGCAATAGAAGGTGTAGTTAGTAAGCGGCACCTGTTAGCCATCAGTGAGGGAACAAGCATCGATGGTGTCCATTGCACCCCAGATTCTGTGGAATTACTGCCACAACAACCAGATATGCCAAGACCCCGTTTGCGTATTGTGGTACTGATTCTTTGTTCATGTCCTTCTCTCTTTATCATGATTTAGGGCATCCGCATAGCCTTCTGAGTTAGGAGCTTCACAGAGCATTAAACTGAATAACAGTAAAGTTGTGGCTAGCTGAAGCATGAAATGACAAGTGTACAAAAATGGTCACACAAATTTCATTTTGTTGATCTGTATTTGTGCAGGTTCATGAAGGGAGGAACCATGAAGTACGAGAACTTGTTAAAAATGCTGGACTTGAGGTTAGATTTGTTTATTGACGGGAGTGTTTTCTACATCCCCGATGTGGGCATTATTCATGATAAAAACTCAACATATGGTGGCCTATTGACCTTTCAGTCTCTGTCCAGATTCTGGAAATTTTTAATTTACTGGAAAAATGGGCTTAAATCTTTAATTCAATACTAGTTCACATTTGCATTGTTCTTTGTTGAAATTTCTGTTCTGCTTATGCTGGCTACTTCTGTCTCTTGTTCCAGATACATTCACTAAAGCGTGTACGTATAGGTGGCTTCAGACTTCCGTCAGATCTTGGGTAATTGCTCTTCAGATCACCCTGCTATCGCTTTACGAATGCTCTCTCTTCTCTCGTTTTCTTACATACAAACACATTCTTTTGATTTTCTACCCTCGGATCAAACTTTTACTCAAGTTCTTTATATTCACCGGTTGACTGAAATGAGCACTTGCGTGAAATTATCCATGTCAAAATTATGTGTTGGAATTATGTTATTTTGGTTGGTCCATCTTAACTTAAGATCCTATGTCCGTCCGTCATTATGTACCTAGTTAGCAGGCTAATCCGTTGGATCTCCTTGCTAATTGTTTCCTTATTTTCAGGCTTGGAAAGCACATGGACTTAAAACAAGGGGATCTTGGCGCCTTGGGTTGGAAAAGTTAGGAAGGTTGCTGTGACTTCTGGCATTAGCATTCCCTCGGTTTTACCATAAGCTAATACAATCATCAAAGTGCTGTTAAAAACTCCACCAACATCTTGCCAAGTCGAGCTGCTGAATTGCATCCCCTACCCCATTTTTTCAGGCAGTATTTGGATGTTCTGGCTGGGAATGCCTCGGCTGATGATGGAATACAACTATACAAGCCATGGTTAATGCCGGTCGAGCTCAAGCGTAACAATTTCTGTGCCGCATAGCGTAATTCAGACGTCGCACGCGATTAACGAAAACCTCTAAACCAAAACCGGGTCTTATTAAGATCCTATGGTTGTTTTGTTTCCCGTATTCTTAATGACCAAGGTGCAAGATTTGGTCTTTGGGAAGCTGCTGCAGTTTTGGCCATTTCTAATTTGCAAGAAATAAGCAAACATTTCCAGGTTGGATGAGCGGTACATTTGCCGGCCAAAACAACACAACCAAACAAATTAGCCAACCTGCCGACACTTCATCTCCTCACTCTCACATATCCAACTCATTTCACTTAAAATATAACTCGAATTTACTCTTATCATCTGCCATCTGGGAGATGAGTGTTATTAATCCTTTAATTATGTTCTAATCAGGATTACGCGCGTCGAACTAATCACTACCTCGTTATGTCTAACGAGCACTGCATTCCCCGATTGATTCAAATGATTCCGACACAAGTGTAAAAATAATGGAGGGTTTTTAACTTTTCACCAATGCGGGATAATTCTTATGACATATTTCGTGATTTGAGCAGCTGGTCGATTGACGTTGTACAGCCAGTCGACTGGCAGCTCACATCCCGCAACCATAACAAAATTTGTTCCATGAGGATAAGATTTGGGATGCAGCATGTATTTTCTTGTATTAAGTAATTATTACATGTATCTATTGGTTTGCATTGGATTGAAATGGTCAGCTATAACTTCCTGGCTTAAATATCAAGGGAGAGAGGGTGACATGTCGGGACGGCATCGTCGCATTTGCCAAAATCTCAGAATATGACAGGCAGAAACTATAATACTATATTTTCTGATCCGAGTTTGATTTGACCCACTAAAACAGAATGAATAAAAACGAAAGGGCTTTTTTATTTTTTTAAAGAATGATTAAAGAACATGGTTAACGAATTTTAGATAAAATGGCGATTGCCGCATTTAATGGGTAAAAACAAGCATGTACTCTCTAAATTAACGTAACAAAAACTTGATAACAAGAGGTTTTGAGTTTGATACTTTGTAAATAGTGAATCTGTTTGGTCGTGGGTCGAAGTGCAAAATTCTCAACTAGCCTCCACTAGGCCCGAAAGAGTTGGATAACCGTGGTTCGCCACCTGCTGTCCCCACTTATGTCAACAAAAAAAAACAAAACTTGTATAACAATTACTTTTCACTTCTTTGTTTTTTCTATCACGATTTTGTTAATCTAGTGATTTTAATATAAGAAAAAAACTAATGAAAATGGTTTGAAAACTTTGATTTTAACGAAAATGACAAAAATGTGTTGTAAGTGAATAGTACCATGATTGATCTTTTAGAGTAAAAATGTAATTTTTCGTTAAAGCGAACAGTACTTACAATTTTTTGTTAAAGTTTTCTAATATCCCTCATTTAGCCTTCAGCACGTGCACATTTTAGATTGAATAAATCAAACAGAAACAAAGAATAAAATTTAAAAAAATATATGTTTATTTAAGCAAGAAATGAAGAATCACCACCACATGATTGTGTTTTCTGATTGCAAATGTCGAAAACACCACATGTAACTTTGTTAAGTGGGGTTTCTTTTGTTTTTGATGCAATTGCCTCCGAAAAAGGGTGTTGTGGATATGAGAGGGCCTACATAGCAGACATAGATTCACCAACCAGACAATCGTACTACTACTCCTTTGCATATGAACGAGAAGGAAGTTGCTTCCTTATGTTTTCCTTTAATTTAATATAATAAAACACACTTTTTTGCATGTAGTTATCTTCTCCAACTTTTAGTCGTGAAATTTTTTAATATCCTCCCGTGTATAGACTACATCGAAGCATATTAGAAAATTCAGGGAGTCTCAAGGTTGTATACGAACATTGACCAGAGTTCATCTTTATTTTTACTTTTTTTTTGTGGTTTGGTATAAGGGTATTTGGGATGCTTGGGCTCAACGAGACAATGGTTCGTATATATTCGTTATTACGGCCTGCGTTCATGAGAATGAAATTTGAGATCTCTACTTTATGGACTTGTAAAGATGAATAATACTCGACTGTAATGTTAGTGACAAGGTTAATTCTCCTGTAACCATGGGGGAAGCTACATGGGATAAGGAGGGGCGGCCACACCCTTCGGTCTTCGGGAATCGTCATTGAGAGTGAGGATTTTGCCCCTCTGGTCCTTTGAACTGCCACCGAAGTCTACTATGCTACTTAATTGCTTATGTGTTTTATGCTTCGCTACTTCTTCTGTGTTTTATTTTTAAAAGTCATTTTCGTCCCAGGATAAAAAACATAAAACAACGTCGTTAAGGAGTGCGACACTAAGGCTGTCATTATTAAAGAGTTTATTAAGTTGTTTGATAATATGAAGGAATTGGCTGTACAGAGAAGTTTCAAGTCATATGAGGCTCTATTTAAGGCCATTATGCACCACGACCAATACATGATGGTCAAGAGGTATTTAATGCAATGTTGAGTGAGGAATAATTTAACCGTCCCTCTTTTAAATGCCACACTTATGAGCTATTGTAAAGAGAATCGATGGGAAGATACATTGTATCTCTTCCATAACATGCCATATCTAAGTCAAGAGGCAATGATGAAAAGCCCAATAATTTCACAATTCCCATTGCTCACAAGGCGTGTACGAGGTTAAGGCACTCACATATGAGGAAATAATACATGTGTTACTAAGAAACATGACAAGGTTGCATAGACTATGTTTGTGGGTCACACATTGGTTGAGTTGTATTTCAAATGCGAAGAAATAGGTGAGGCTGTGAAAATGTTTGATGAGTTTTTGCAATCGAATGTGTTTTTATGGAGCGTGACAAAAGAAAGGTAAAAGCTTATACCCTTTTATATTTTGACTCTCATTCTGACAATTCCTGACTACGCCACTGCCTGTAAAATGTCAAAATGTAATTTTTTATTTATTTTTGGGTTAAGTTGTTTATTCCCTAGGGCAGGAGAAGAATGACACGAAATGAGTTTTGAACAAATGATATTATCTACACTACGGAAGTGAGTGACTTAGTTTCATAATGGACTAACAATACTATGGTTCAAACTCGCATTTGACGAGAATTGAACCTAAGACATCTTACTTACAAATGAAAAGAAATATCACTAGACTGTAGTACTAAGTGGCTTCAAAATGTAATTAAAAAACAGTAACTTTTTCTAAAGTAAGCCAAGTATTAGTAATTGTGGATTCATAAAAAGATTTTGTTCATGTGTGGTCAACGATAGGGGGATTGGTCGAGTTTCATACTGTTGCCAGCACTGTACAAGTTTCCTGGGACCACATATATTTTCACGTGATGACATGACAACATATACTTTTTGATAATTCGTACACTGACAACATTGACAAGCCTAATTCACAGATATAAAAGGCAGTAATAATTCACAATACAGAAAATCTCACAGAAAGGAGAATCTCTACATTCGCATTTAGATAAAGCATTCTACATATAAAAAATATCTTAATTTTTTAAACCGTTAAAATTTTAATTTTAGTGTTTTTAATTAGAAATTTAAAAGTTAAAAAGTTTGAAATATAAAAAATCTCATCCAGTGAGTAACTCTTAACATTTAGACGCAAGGTCATGTTTCTTTTCAATCGATGTCAAACACTTTAGGTTACGTACAGATTGGTTGGAATGCATCAAAGTGATTGGTAGAATAGAGTATAAGTTGGGTGAATTGGAGATTCATTACAATTCATGTGAAAATGAAATAAAATACGTTTTAAGCTCATATGATGGTCGCAACCTTAAAGGGAGTGTAGAAAATTGCCTTGAACGACAAAATGAGTGGTTTCAAGTATGATTTCAGAGTCAAACAAACTTCAATGCTTTTAAAGGTGCTTTTATTCTTGATCAGGATTAAGAATAGACAAAAACCTCGATTTCAACTTTGATGAAAAACATAACCACGAGAGATTATTAAGTTTTTTTTCTTTCCCACATTAGCCTATAATTTACACAATTTGGAAGAAACAAAATACTAAGTTGATAATAATAACTATAACTAGCCTTTCTGCACGCGCCTTGCGCGTGCGAAAGGTCTTTTTTACATCACGGCGCACTACGCGCGGCAGTCAAAGTTTTTTTTCCCTTCCACATTTGGTTTGAGTGGAAAAGTGTTTTGTTTTTGTTTTTGTGATGGCAAATAAACCATACTAATATAAACAAAATAGGAAAAATTAGATTCTCATCCTTCTTTTTGCTACTTTATTGATTAAAATCTTATTCCTTTTCAAATTTTGATAAAGGTCCTTGTGTATTAATAACATCATTAATTATTTCAATAATAAAATATTTTTTTATTTCTAAATACATTCATTTAATGTTAAAAATGTTACAATTAGTATATTTATATTTATGACTAAATTTTTTATCATATATTTTTAGTTTTAATTTGTACCCATTTTTAATTTGTAATTCTTTTTTAACTTGTACCAATTTTATTTTCACTTTTAATTTGTACCCATATATTAATTTCTTTTTGTGCTCATATTTTTTAAAGTTTATTTGTCTTTTTACCCATATATATTGTTTTTATTTGTACTTTTTATTTTGCTAAATGTACCCATTCATGTAAAACTTTTTAATCTTAAAATGTACTCATTCTTAAATATACCAATTTGTTATATGTAAAATGTACCCTGTTTTTTTTTATATATAAAATCTATTCAATTTTTTTCTAATCCATTTTTAAACGTATATGGGTACATTCTTTTTTCTTTGATTTTAAAATGTATCCATATCAAGTTTAATTGAAGAAATTTACTAATGTTATTAAGCCTAATATCTTTCTTTTTTTTTCTTTTTTTTTGTGTGATTTAGAAGAATGTACCCATGTTTTGATACAATAAATTTTTTGGTTAATTTTGATGAATGTACCCATGTTTATATATACACACACACAATAGTATATTTATATTTTAATATTTTTAATCCCACAAATTATGGTTTTTTAAATTTAAAATCTAATTTATATAAACAACTAAAATTTCTAATTTTTAATTTAAAAAAATATAGTAACGTACATAGAAATAAATTATCACATTAATTTCAGGGACCTCGATCAAAAATTAAAAACCAACAAGATTTCCAATCAAAGAATATTCATAACTAAGGACCGCATCCAAAGTCTCCCAACAAAATATAAATTGAACTAGTAATTGAAACACACTAAAATATTAATCAATACAAAAA